TAAATATTTTCTTTATAAGAGTTGTTGTGGTCATGATGTTACTTCATAGCAATGAAAACCCAAACTAAGATGTTGGGGGCTACAGACCCCGGGCCCCTTGACTTTCTTTGCCTGCCTCAGACCCCTTGCCTGCTGGAGTTAACTGAGCAAAACAACTTGTTTACCTGTGCCTGCAGCTGCTCTGAGCACAAGACCCTGATGGCAGGGGAGTGGGTTCTGGTGAGGCCAGAGCCCTATATAATCTGCCCCTGAGCATAATAAAGTTGGCATTCTTGCATCAAGAATGACCCTTGTCCCTGTGTCTCTGTCTGTCTGTGTTTGTATGTTTTTAAGTCTTCAGCCTAGTTCCCAGCTTGCATAACATAACACAGAGCATAGAGCAGACACAGTGTTTTACAAGTGGAGGCTCCCAGCAAGATCAGGGAATTAGGGAGATGCTAAGAGACCACCCTCGGGAATGGTGAGGGTAGATTGAAGATGGGTATGTGTCTATGTGTGTTTTTCATCCCCAGGCTCTTGCCCAATAGCAGTTCCAGGGGGTGCAGGTGCCACAGCAGGAGGCACCGCTGAGATTGGGAACTAGAGGTTCTCTGAGGGATGCCCTCCAGAAGGTTGGCTAACAGGAAAGTAATAAAGAGGGGGAGGGTGAATTGAAGGCCTCAAGAAAAATGGAAGAGAAAGAATAAGTTTTTAAAGAGACAGAGTAAATAATAATAAGCCATGTAAAGATGCAACATGCACAGAGAATTTGTATTATGTATATTACTGTGTTGTCTTTTGGTTTTTTGACTGGAGAAAGACATTTGATTCTGGGAACTGCTAAGAAAGGTATCTTGACTGTAAAATACGGGCCCATGGATTTGTTGCTTTGGAAAAGAGGTTCTGCTTTTGTTTCCACAGAGAATGAGAACTTGTGGATTCATTCTAGGCTAATGTGGTTTGATGGGCCAAGCCCCCCTGAAATGTCGCTGTAAATACCCTCAAAGATACTTCACCCAATAAACAGCAGGAAGTAGTTTACAAAAAAACGATGCCCAAATTCTCTAAATGGTTGTTTACTGGAGGAAGTAGGGCTCAGGAGCCTGTCTGCCATTGTGGGCCTGACGAGCAGGGACAAGCTGTGTGCAGGCAGCAAGCTTGGGCCCCTTCCACGATTCCTGAGTGCAAGCCTGCCTGCTGCACAGGCTCCCAGCTGCCTTTGGTGGAAGGCATGTTACCCCGGCACAGTCGGTGCCTGCCTGGTGGAGCCACGGCAGGTGGTGCCAGGAGCATTGGTTACCACAGTGGCAAATGCTGGAGCCGGGGCAGGCCAGAGCTGCTCAGACCCCACTGGGCTGCCCGTCAGTACACAGTCTGCTGCTCCGGCCAGTTGTACTGGTGTACCTCGATAGGATTTGCTGAAGGAGGCAAAAGCAGGAGGATCAGTTATGGAGACTGTCTGGCAGTTTGTGTTTTATTTTTGCCGAATTTTCTACTATGATTTATGGCCAGAGAGCATTGTTTATTGTAGTGATGGGGACCATGATCACTTTACAAGAATGTTAGCAAGGATTCTCGGGAGTTTCGTTTTAGGAATCCAGCCCAGTGTGGTGTAGTGTCTACCTTCACAGGATTAGGTATCTTTGTGGACTTCATGCCTGTTTAAATTTTGGACCCTTGGCTGTGCAGGATTCTACCTTTTTTTTTAATAGCACAGCAAGATGGAAAACCAGAGCCAAAATAGGGCGTCTCATGCGGCTGTCTGTGGCTAATTAATGATTCTGCCCTTAATTGTTCTCAAGTTTTGTGCCTTCTGAACAGCTGTTGGGCTAACCTGGGTTCTGGGGTTGGTGCCTCCTGTTCCAGTGAGTCAACTGGTGCTGAGCCGTCCTGGCTGAGACTTGGGGATCACCATCACTGTGGGTGGCTGCTATTGTCACCGCTGTGGCCTCCAAGATAACTGGAATTGCCACCAGACAACTGCTGTGGCTAGCACTGTTGATCCCCTAGCCAGATTACCACTGCCTTAGAGATCCAGAATTCCCTAAAATTTTCGCCAGGGCATTTTTCAGTTTGACCTATAGACCTCCTTTTATAAGAGCAGTTGGAGTATACGGTTGGCTGCTCCCATTCCTTTCCTTAGATTTGTGTCACGCCCATGCCAGTCAAGCCACTCCCATACAGTCTAGGCTTGCTGAACATCCGGCCATAGGAACTCCTGTTGCCTGATGGTTTCTGTTGCTCTGCCTCTGCAACACGAGTCAGTAGCAGCAGCAGCGATGTAAAATCATTATTTGCCCAAGAAAGTGGGCTTCCTTCGAGAGCCGTATGGATTAGCAGGCTACGGAAAGACCAGTGAGCCAGAGATGGGTAAGAAAGGAGCCTGTCATGCGCTTCTGCAACCCAAGAGAGGCCTGGTCTAATTATATAGAAAAGGGGGAGCTGTTAGGAGCTGCAGACCCCTGACCCCTTGACTTTCTTTGCCCGCTGGAGTGAACTGAGCAAAACAACTTGCTTAGCTGTGCCTGCAGCTGCTCTGAGCACGAGACCCTGATGGCAGGGGAGTAAATTCTGGTGGGTTTTGCAGCTGAAAGATCCTGAGAGCTGAGGCGTGGTCAGAGCCCTATATAAGCTGCCCCTGAGCATAATAAAGTTGACATTCTTGTATAAAGATGACCTGTGTCCCCTTGTCTCTCTGTCTATGCGTGTTTGTATGTTTTTAAGTCTCCAGCCTAGTTCCAGATTCGTGCACAGTAGAGCATAGAGCATACAGAGTGCTTTACTCTAGGACGAAGTAGAAGGATCTTCAGTTCAAGGTCATCACCAGTGAGCCTGGGCTACACTAAGACTCTCTCAAAAACAAAACAAAACCTAAACAAAAATAACAATGGAAAGCTCCGAAACATAGGCTGCTTGTTGCCCCAAAGAGCTACTGATCAGAAAGCAATAAAATCTAAGAACAATAGTTTGTCACAATGTAATTAGCTTGCTATTACAAGGGCTTACAATGTCCTAGGCACAGCGAAACATCTGAAGTCTGTGTGGCACTAACAAGAGTTAGCTGCCCAAAAGAAAAACAAAACAAAAAGTTAGCAATTTGCTCGGACTCCAGTGCTGATTGTTGTAGAAGGCCCAGTGGTCTGGTAAGGGTGGCCCAGTATCCCAACTATTGTGGCTTTTTGTTTTGTTTGTATTTTTGAGACAGGGTTTCTCTGTGTAGCCCTGGCTGTGCTGGAACTTGCTTTGTAGACTTGGCTGACCTGTAACTCATAAAAATTCTCCTGCCTCTGTCTCCCAGTTGCTGGAATTAAAGGCATATGCCACCACCACTGGCTGGCTTTTTCTAAATAGTCTTATAATTTACTATTGTTTTACATGCACTGGTGTTTGCCCTGCAGTTATGTCCATGCAAGGGAGCCAGATCCCCTAGAACAGTGACTGACAGTTGTGAGCTGCCATGTGGGTGCTAGGAACTGAACCAAGGTCCTCTGGAAGAGCAGCCAGTGCTCTTAACCCCTACGCCATCTCTCCAGCCCCGTGGCCAGATTTTTTTTTTTTTAAGTTAGGTTCATCACTGGGTCTGGTATGGAAAGTTGTAAGCAACAGCTTCCTATGTAGTGTATCCAGTCTGGTACTTCTGTCGGTTGCCCTACGGGATGCTGAAAATGGTATTCTGGTGGATACTTGTATCTCTGACATCAATGCTGTCTCCAACTGAAGCTGTAGACAGGTACATAGAATGCCTTTAGGAAGCTTCAGGGCACAGGAACCAGGACCCACATGACCAAGTCACCACGTTACTCTGCCTCAAGCTGCAGATTAAGACACATGTAACGAACGCCTTGCAGAGACAAATTCAAGTTCCGGGGCCGCCAGAGGATCCACATCTCAAAGAACTGGGGCTTCACCAAGTTTAATGTAGATGCACTTGAAGATACAGTGGTGGTGAAGTGGTTCGTCCTCTACGGTGGTGGGGTGCAACACAGCCTTAATGGGGGTCTCCTGCCCTCCTGAGGGCTTCCCGGGCTGAGCTGCACACCCTACCAAACACACTCACCACAGTGGCCCACATTTAGTCTTAAAAAAAAAAAATAGGTTTTTTTTTCTCTCTTTCTAGTCTTGGGTTTTCTTTTTCAAAATTAAAATTTTTTACATAGGAAAGCCATTCATGTCATTCATGAATGACAGAGAGCAAGAATAGAATGCCCCATTCAATGAACTGGTCATATCTGAGGTTTGTTAAAACAGAATTACCACCATTCAAATAAAACAATATGCTATTACCTCAGACATGGATGCTGTATGTTTACGTCCTAAGAAATAACGTACATTGCCGGGCGATGGTGGCGCATGCCTTTAATCCCAGCACTCGGGAGGCAGAGGCAGGCGGATCCCTGTGAGTTCGAGACCAGCCTGGTATACAGAGATAGTTCCAGGATAGGCTCCAAAGCCACAGAGAAACCCTGTCTCGAAAAACCAAAAAAAAAAAAAAAAAAAAAAAAAAAAAAAAAAAAAAAAGAAATAACGTACATTTCATTACTTTGAAGATAATTGTAATTTTTTCATTATTTGTTAGTGTACTAATGTAGATCTGGGACAAACATGTAAAGGTCAGAGGACAACTTTGTGGAGTCAGGTTTTCTTTCCACTTTTGCAAGGGTTCCAACGAATGATTGCAACTTGCTAAGGACCTTTACCCACTGAACCGTCTCGAAGGCCCAAGAGATGGATGTAATTTTTACTACTGTACCACAGAAGCCCAAGCCGAGGAGACTGCCTGAAATCCAGTGCTGCTCACTTTTGCCAGCAGAATGGGGCCTTTCTCATTCTGTTTTTAATGCTCTTGTTTTCTGTTTAATTAAAGCCACCTTATGTCTGGAAATATACCCAAGGGGCTACAGATTTGAGAACTTTAAACACAAAAAGACATGACAATTACATTTTAACTGCTTTGAACAGTACCTTTGAGATCTTTACAGTGGAAATTGAGGCATCACGCTGGGCATGCTTATTGCCGGGCATCCAACAGCATTATCACCTTAAATGTTTTATTGTTGATATACACAGAAGTTAGCTTTTTAGGTAGGCAATCTTGTGGGCGTCAAGTATATTCATGTTGGACAACCATCATCCTCCCCAAATAAAACTTTGTATGCTTGAAGTACAAATTCCCCACTTCCTCCTTGTTCTAGACTCTGGTAACAGCAACCTTTTCTAGTTATACCCTATCTATGCCTTCACTTAGCAAAGTACCAAGGTCAACCCATGGTGGATGGTGTGTCCCAATTCCCTTCTCTTCAAATGCCTAATATTTGACTGCATTTAACGCAGCATTCATCCATCCACAGGCACTCGGGGGGCTCTCCCCCTTCTTTTACTTCGAATAAGGTTATTTATGAATATGGATATGCAAAGATCTCCCTCAGCCCCTTCTTTTCACTTCTTTTGGACATGCAGAGATATGTAATGGGCCACCCACCAGCTTCTTACATCACGTCTTTATCCTTCTTGTTGCTGAGATAGGACCTTACTATGTAACCCTGCCTGGTCTGGCACTCTATAGACCAGGCTTACAGACACCAAACTGGCTTTGAACTCACGGTTAATCCTCACACTTCACCTCCTGAGAGCTGAGATTACAGGTGTGTACCACACCCAGCTTTTTGAAAACCCCAAAGTTTTCAAAGACTCTAGGCCTGGGTGAGCATCTGGAGCCACTGCCTCAGTTCTCCTGACTCAGCCTGACTCCTGTCCAAATGGCAGCCAATATTGTTGCTACAGTTCTGTAAACTTGACATAACCTAGAATCACCTCGGGGGCAGGAAGCTTCTGCGCATGCCTGAGGATGGGGCAATCCTTTGATTACATTAACTAAGGTGGAAGAGAGGCCCATTCTGCTTGGTACCATTCTCTAGGCAGGGAAGCCTGGATGGTGTAACAAGGCAGGAAGTAAACAGAGCACATGTACACACACTCATTGCTCTCTCCTTCTGTCTATGATTAGAATGTGGCCAGCTGCTTCACACTCCTGATGCCCTGGCTCCCCCGCTACGATGAGACTATAATCTAGAACTGTGATTTAAAATAAACCCTTTCTGGGGGCTGGGAAGGTGGCTCTTTCAGGGAACCCAGCTTCAATTCCCTGCACCCACATGGCAGCTTATAACTAATTCCAGTTCTAGAGAATCTGGCACCCCCACACAGACATACATGCAAAGCACAAAAAAATAAATAAGTCTTTAATAAAATAAAATAACCCCTTTCTCCCTACCATTTGCTTGTCAGGGCATTTTGTTGCGGCAAGAGCAAAATGAAGACAATTGCAATGTCCCATACACATGACTGTGTCCTCTGGGGTCAAGCTCAGGCAAGTAAAAAACCTGATGAATTTTTGTAAAACCAGGAAGCGTGAAAACAGGAAGGTCAGGAAGGTGGCGAAATCCACACGCAAGCCAAGGATTACAAAAGCAGTCCTTCTTCAAGCTTTTTTCCACCTGCTAAAACACTGAAATGTAGGAGGGTTTCAAATTACTCACCAATCCCAAAGCTTTCTTGCGATATTTTTCAGAGTTTCTGTCAAAAGTTCCTATCCAAGGAACTGCAAGACCGACCCTCCCTCTCTGTCACTGGTGAAGAGCAGCCTAGCCAGCTCATGGTTTATGAGAAACCGCAAGGGTGAAGTCACTTGAAGCACTGGGCTGTACACACGGTCAGTGTGTTTCTGGCCAAGCAGGTGTGACCCAAGTCACTGCTGGCGTGGCTTCTTTTTGGATGGAGAAGGGAAAGAAAAAAGAAACTAAGCCAGCAGAGAGACAGTGATGGCGACCAGTGTCTGGCTTTCCTCTTTCTGTCCAGGTAGAGAAATGGTCTAAAACACTTAGTGACAATGTCCACTCATAGGGTCCAGCATATGCTAAAAGTCACATGGGTTTTGCCCTCCCTGGCCCTTCTGGGTCCTTGTTGCAGCTAGGTTCAAATGGGGCCTGATTCCACAGAAGTCGCTCCCTCACTACTCAGCCATGCACAAGGGGAAGGTTCCCAGGCAGACACATTAGCCTGCGAAGAGGGAACAGGACCCAATTTAAGTTTGAAGCCTAAAAATACATTCCATGTGATCATTTGGGCCACTACGGTGAACTGGGACCCAACAATGTCACCACCCGTGGTACTCTTGTTGTATTTAGTGTCCTCAGCGAGAGGGCTGACTGGAAGAGTGTGATAAACCCCAGGTCCTCTAACAGCTCTATTCTTTTCCAACTACCTTCTTACATGTATGTGCATGTCTACATGTACATGCCCTTGTGTGTGTGCACAGAGAAGCCAGAGGGAACCTGCAGTGTTCCTCCCAGGAGCTGTCCCCCTTGTTTTTTGAAATGTCTCACTATGGTGTGGGGATTCAGTGAGGCTAGCTGGCCAGGCAGCCCCAGGGACCTGTCTCTCTGCCCTCCAGAATGGGGATCACAAATGCCTGTTACCACGCCTGGGTTTTCACACGGGTGCTGGGGTCCAAACTCAGGTCCTCACGTCTGTACACGCGTGACAGAGCCATGTTCACAGCCCCACCCATGGTACTTTTGAAGATGCTGAGGACTGAAATCGCACGCTTTTATTAAGGTCTAGGTTTTCACGCAATCATGATACTGGCTGGTACCTCTAACTTCACATCCGTGAAGCTGATCTGTGCTGCTGTGTAGAGTGGTCCTCCGTTACTTAGTAGAATAAAATGATTTGTTTCCATGTGGAGGTGACATTCCACATGCATTTTTTGGAAAAGCCATGTCACTATCCATTCCTTAAGTATGGGTGTAATTTTTTTCCTGGGACATCGATACTGTTTGACACCCAACACTCATCTCCCTACTTAACTTTGAACATCTAACAGTGCAGGGCTAAGTGCGAAGCTGTTAAGCAAGTTGCCTTCTGCATTTACAAAATGGCTCATTTCTCTCACTACCACTCCAGATATACGGATTTGTCCTTAGGACTTCGGTAACACCAGTCTCCCAAAGACTCCAAGGCTCCACAGACCTTCCATCTACTCAGAACCACAGCATTTACATACTAGGCAAACTACAACGCCCTTTTATTTCCTGCTACCACCTGGAGCCTAGAAATGGTTAAAAACAGGAGCGCCAGGAAGTGGCCAGTCTCGTCCCAGCAGGCTGCTTCCCAGTTCTCTTTCATCTTCGGTGAGGAGGCTTCTTAGGAGGAAGGCAAGATGGCTGCCATCCTTCAGTTATCACAGTACTGTACCTTTAGAATGGACAGCATCAGCACTGTGATAACTGAGCCAGGGCAGCCTGTCAGTCACCAGGTCCAGCAAGGGTGCCCCGTGGAGTGAAGAACTGGAAGACAGGAGGAAGCAGGACAAAGGGGGTTAGATGGTGAGGGTGAGCTGAGCTACACTAGAAGAAAGGCTCACACACGGGTCACACACGGCTCGCACACACCCAGCCAATAAACACAACTGAATTTCCCTTCTGGTTATCCATCTCTCCACACTTCCCAGTGACATCTTGCAGCCTCACCCATACAGCCAGTTTTCTTGAAGGAAGATTACGTTTCAAGACCTTTCCTAGAGTTGGGCTTGCTGGCACAGGCCTTTACCCCAGCACACAGGAGGCAGAGGCAGACAGGTTGGCTCTGAGTTCTGGGAGGCATGGATCCACAACCAAACAGCCTACTTCACGTCTGCCGAAGGTTCGGTAGCTTTCTATAGGTTTTTCATTTAATTTTCACAAAAACCCTATGGAGTTAACTATGAATGGTTCACAAACTCATCTAAAATGGGATTATAAAACCAGGTTATGTATTGTAAGACTACCTTACTGATACAAAAAACAACCCAAAAACACAAAGGAGTTGGGGATGGATAAAATCCAGCGCCACAGTGTACATGTATGAAACTGTCAAAGAATAATTTTAGAAAGTACAGACAGACAGACACACACACACACATACACACAGAGAGCTGAAGAGATGATGGTTCCACAGGTAAGAGCACTAGTTGCTCTTCCAGAGGACCCAGGTTCAATTCTCAGCACCCCCATGGTGGCTCACAACTGTTTGTGACTCCAGTTCTAGGGGAACAAAGCCCTCTTCTGGCCTCCTTGGGCACCAGGCATACATGTGGTCCACAGACATACATTCAGGAAAACACTCATACATATAAACACATAGAAATAAGAATAAATCATTCCACTTTAAGAAAAACAAAAGCAAAAAGGGGCACAGACTACTCTCACACAGAACCTTATGACTTCTCTTATAGACAATCTATTCCCAGCACCTCACAACCATCTATAATTCCAGTTCCATAGGCTCTGGTGCTCTCTGCTGGGCCCTGGAGGTACTGCACACACATGACACACAAGCACGCTGCAGCCCAAAGACTCGCACCATTAGATAAAAAGGAAGTTGGTGTGCTGGCGCATGTCTTTAATCCTAGCACCCAAGAGGCAGAGAGAGGAGGGTCTCTGTGAGCTTGAGGCCAGTCTAGTCGACACGGTGAGCTATAGGACAGCCAGGGATACATAACCCCTGTCCTTTAAAAAAAGAAAGAAAGAAAAAGTAAATAAATATCTAAAAAAATTAAAAACCTCAGAAACTCTTGAGACATTATATGATCTACCTAAGATCTTATAACTAGGTTAACGTAAAATGTAGGCCCCGATTAGTTTCTGTAGGTTGTATGAGGTCCTTTTCTGCCCTATTCATCACTAGCCAGGATAGTCAGTTTATATTCTATAACACAAACTACCATTCACAGACATTTTTTTCTCTTTTTTTTTCTTTTTGGTGTTTTGATACAGAGTTTCCCTGTGTAGCCCTGGCTGTCCTGGAACTCACTCTATAGACCATGCTGGCCTCCAACTCAGAGATCCACCTGTCTCTGCCTCCTGAGTGTTGGGATTAAAGGTGTGCACCACCAACACCTGGCTATTTTTTTTTTTAATGTGCACTCGTGCCTGCATGCATGTCTGTGTGAGGGTGTCAGGTCTTGGGGGTTACAGACAGTTGTGAGCTGCTGTGTGGGAACTGAACCAGGTCCTCTGGAAGAGCAGGCAGCAGTCTTAACTGCGGAGCCACCTTTCCAGTCCCTACGAATGTTTCTGAATGCTTTGTTTTAGTAACCCAGACCACTTAACAAAAATTAGTGGTTTATAATGTAGCAGCAGTTCCTTGTGAACTATTAGTCTCACTGCTCTTGATGCTAAACGATCAGGTGCTGACGCCTGCTGTTGCTATGATGATGATGTTGTTGGGGTTTTCTTGAGATAGGGTTTCTCTGTGTGGCCCTGGCTGTCCTAGAACTCACTCTGTAGACCAGGCTGGCTTTGAACTGAGATATATCCATCTGCCTCTGCCTTCTGAGTACAGGGATTAAAGACATGCACCACCACCACCACTCTGCTGGAATGCCTTTTTAAAAAAGGCACCACTGCTGGATGGTGGTGGCACCCATCTTTAATCCTAGCACTTGGGAGGTAGAGGCAGGCAGGCAGATCTCTGTGAGTTCGAGGCCAGCCTGGTCTACAAGAGCTAGTTCCAGGACAGGAACCAAAAAGCTACGGAGAGAAACCCTGTCTCGAAAATTTAAAAAAAAAAAAAAAAAAAAAAAAGAGTTAGTTCCAGGACAGGCACCAAAGTTACAAAGAAACCCTGTCTTTAAAAAAATAAATAAATAAAAAGTAAAAAGACAACACAGACATCACTTTCATTAGTGTTAGGTGTACCTTTGACCCATACCCTGAAGTAATTTCAGGGATGGGTCCTGCCTTTAATAAAAGGTACAAAAAAGGCTGCACATGCTAACACACGCATTTAGTCCCACTAGAGAAGCAGAGGCAGGTGGATCTCTATGAGTCCTGGGCTTCACACGGTGAGACTTTGTACAAAAAGCCTCTAAAATTAGAATGCCAACATCAGAACACCAATTTATTAAAACCATGATTCATCCCGTTCTTCCACATCACTCGCCGTGTCTCAGACTATTTCAGCATGAGCAGAACTTGACAGGCATTTAAAAAAAATAATTATGTTTTCAATTAGGAATTCTCTCGATTTCAAAGACTCATTATATGCAGATCAGACATTAAGTCTGCCTCAAATAGGTCAGAGGGATGAATCAATTCTTTAGATCAGGATTTAGAAACCAGAATAGCACAATGAATCTAGCTAAACAATTGAAACTGACCTTAATCTTTAGAAAAGTATATCCAAATGAAATAATCCACCTCCACAGAAATTAAAAGTAATCTCTCCAAAGTGCAGAAACAGCTCAAAGTTAAGGCGTCAGCAGGCAGGTCTTAGCAAACTGATGTAATACAGAGTTGAGACACAAGGTGGCAGTGAAGATTAAAATAAAGAGTTGGCTACACAACCCATGTTTCCTGGAAATGGTTGCGTGTTTTCGCCCAAATCATAAACATGTTATGTGAACAAAGCTATTTTGATTGTTATAAAAGAAAATTTTGGAGAGCTGAACCACCAGAAAGTATAAAAATACTAACACCTAGTTTCTCCTGACCGCAGGATCATCTCCACTTACGGAAACACACTTGAGCTCCAGTGTTCACTTAGTCCTCAGCAGAAAGGTCCCTGCCTGGATGGGTACCTCCGTAACTGGATGTCCAGAACGCCCAAAGGGATTTAATGTGTGTCGTGGACGTCAGAGGCGAAGTTCAGTGGACTAGCCAAATTCACTCTACCGAAACGTACATGTTTATGGAACATTTCTGGTGGGGAAAAAACTACATGATACTTTTTTTTTTTTCAAAAAAAAAACTTTTTTCCTTCATTATTTTCATCCTTAAATTAGAAAATAAAAGCCAAGCACTCATAATAAGAAAAATCTTCACTATTGTGTGAATAGTAAATTTTGCCTCAGACTAATTGTAATGAGGTCTCAAGGGGGGAAAACGTGGGTTTGAAAATGACCCCTTACGGCAGCCTGTCTGCAGGCAGTCTCAGCATTTGGGAGGTAAAGGCAAGTAGTCTAAGACCATCCCGGACAACTCAGTAAGATTCCATTTCCAAATATGAATAAAAGAGTTGGGGATGTAGCTCAGGGGCTTGTCTCACATATGTGAGGTTGTAGTTCCAACTCTTGGTACCTCAAAATGGAATCTTAGTTTCTTCTTGAAAATTCCCTTTAAAAAGGCATATTCTTGTAAAACTAAATCACAAACACTTCTTCAATTTATTTCTCTTGCAAATAAAATCATTTCAGTGGAAACCAAGAGAGCACAGGTTCTCGGGCTACAACAAGAAAGAAAGTCTATCACACCGCAAGAGAGGAACAAAGACGGTGACCTGGCCTGCTTTCCTCTGGATGGGAGACTGGGTTCTCATGTGAAAAACGACAAAGCAGCCAGGCATGGTGGCTCACGCCTAATCCACACTCGGGGGGCAGGATGAGGGCTTCGACTTTCAGGGCAGCATGAGCCCGAGAGAATTCTGGGCCAACCTGGAGTAGAGACGCTGTCTCAAAACCAACCAGCCAAACACACACACAAAACTAACCCCACCAAAGATAAAGACACAGCAACAAAAAGAAAAGAACCAATTTTCCATAATGCATGTAGAAAATTTCTTAAGATCGGAGTTGTTCACTGACAGTGCTATGCCTTAGACTTTGCCCTGGAGTGATGCAGAATACAATGGCCAGACTGAAGACATGTCCCATTCCTGCCCTCTGTAAGCTAAAAAAATTAACATATGACCGAAAACCATTAAATACTGACTGTATATTATATAACCGCAGGCATCTGAAGTTGCCTGTAAGTCAGAATGTTTCAAAACTGTTGCTAAGTTAAATTCATAGCCCCTTGAACTTGAAAATCATAAGCCAGCTCAATAACAATATTAAATGTTACATTGACGTATTAACAGAGGAGGCTGAACGCCAGCACCTCCTTGGCTTAGAGCACGCAGTATGTGCAGGTAGCGTGCGCCTTACTTCAAACTCTGCTGCACTGAACTTTGAGAAACTAACTTGCTAGCCGGGTGTGGTAGCTTACACACGCCTTTAATCCCAGCACTCTGGAGGCAGAGGCAGGTGGATCTCGGTGAGTTCGAGGCCAGCCTGGTCTACGAAACAAGTTCCAGGACAGCTAGGGCTGTTACACAGAGAAACCCTGTCTCAAAAATCAAACCAAAACAATAAAAACAAACAAAAGAAAAAAGAAAGAAAGAAAAAAAGACTTGTGGGAAGCCCTGGAGAGGGCTACAGGTTTTTTTTTTTTTCTCCCTTAAGGAGAAAGATTGGTTAAAAGTCAAAGCAGAAAGTCCTGCTTGAAACCAACTGCCGGCTGTGACATTCAAGCACAGCTCCACCAGAAAGGTGTCACTGTTCCATCCACTCCAAGGACTGGCCTCAAGAAAGGCCCCTGCTGCACAGGAGCAGGCCCATATGGATGACAACAAGTGAACCCCTTTAGAGAAGACTTTGTACAAGGTCATACAGGCAGAGGACCGGCAAGATGGCTCAGTGGGTAAAACTGTGAAAACTGATGCCCCGAGTTCCATCCCTGGGGACCTAACATGGTAACAACTTCCACAAACTGTCCTCTGACCTCCACACAGTGCCATGGATCACGCATAGCAGCATATACGCACGCGCGCGGGAACACACACGGGCGTGTGCACACACACACACACAATTTAATTTAATAAAAACAATTGAAGACAGCAAAGTAAAACAAGCAGAGAAAATAAGTTTTGTTCCTCAAGCTCATCATGATTTTAGCTTACAAAGGCTCCAAGAGACTAAAAAAATAAGTAAAATGACCCACATGCTGTCTTTTAAAAGCCTTTCTTTTTAACACATCTACTCAAGTTACTTTACTCTGAGTCCGCTCTGGATTGCATTTTGTACCCAGAATTTAGATTTTATAGTTTACTTACAAGTTATTCACTCCGTGTTTACTGCTATAGAATACGCTTTTACAATAATCAAAACCATACCAATCAAGGCAGTGTGTGCCAACACACACCAACACTCCCTGCCCCTGGGAGGTTGAGGAAAATAACTCATTTGTTTGAAGCCAGCTTGGGCTGTATATTAAGTTAAATGCCAGCCTAGGCCACAGGGCAAGACCCCATCTTAATAAAAATAATAACAAGAGGGGCTAGAAAGATGACTGAGTAGCTAAGAGTACGGCTGCTCTTCCAGAGGACCTGGTTCGATTCCCAGCACCCATGAGGCAGCTCACAATGATCTGTAACTCCAGTCCCAGGGGATCTGATGTCCTTTTCTGGCATGGTACACCGACATGCATAAAGACAAAGCATCCATACACATTAAAAAAATAATAAAGGTTAAAATTATAATAGCAATAAAAGGAACCAGTCAGCCAAACAGCTTCTCTTACAAAGTTACTCATTACAAGTAGAGAAAAGGATTAGTTGTAGCTAGGCATAATCCCAGCACTAGAAAGTTACAGCAGGGAGATCTGGAGTTTACGGGCGTCCTGGTCTAGGTGACAAAACCACTCCTATCAAAGAACTTAACTCCAGAACTTAACTCACCACTAGCCATCCCTAAAGTGTCTGATGGTTTTCTGATGGTCTACAGTGTCCTCTTTACTGAAGCACTGCCATTTAAATGTCGGGTCTTAGGTTCTGAAATTCCCCTAAAGCACAGATAAAGGGGATAATACCAAAGATTTAACACTGATCTCCAATTCTAGAGCCTTTTGGCTAGACCATAAATAAAACCACACACCACTTCTCTGCGGGTCCACTGTTCTCACGACTGTCCTGACACCTGTAAGATGAACACATCTCTAGTGGCAAGGCATGCCACCGTGACACCCCACTCATTAAGTGGGGACACTGCACCCCTTGACACTGTGTGTGGGTGGTAACTAGTCAACTCTTTCAGAAGTCACACAATGTTCTTTTCGTGTCCCTTCATAGCACTTACTTATCAGTCATGCCCACACGTTCAGCAAATACTGGCTCTTCCTTTCTCTGGCTATCAACAAAACTGTGTATTTGATTCCGTCCTTTGCATCATACTGGACAGCTGTCACTTACAAAACAAGAGGACAGTATACCCAGGAGGCAGAGGCAGGTTGATTTCCCAGTTTGATGACAGCCTGGTTTATGTAGTGAGTTCCAGGCCAGCCAGGGCTACATAATGAGACCCTGTCTCAAGAAACAAGCAAACAAATGCCCTCCCAGTGCCACTACTGAATTTCTTTAGACAAAACAAAACCCCCCAAAGCAGTGCTCTTTATTCCTTGGTTTTGCTGGGTTGCTGTTTTTGAAGGGTAAGGAGTAGACAATCCTAGGAGCTCTAAAACAGGAGAAGAAATTAAAAGGAAAGGCAAAGAAAATTAAGGTAACAGAACTGACAAGATTATCAACTTGTGTCCTAACCACTACTATGTCACCTCATATTTTCTAACACATTCTACTACTCCCTTGTAAACAAGGAGCTTCTCATTGGTATGTTGGTTTTCCCAAACTTCCCACAATCCACTGCTATCCAATTTCAGCTTTTTGGTTTTTTTTAACCTCTTGAAAAGCAGACACTGGGAGCTCTGAGATAGAGTAACACTTCATGGGCTCGGGTCCCCCGGTCTTTCCATGCATCACAGCAGTAGAAAGTAGACAGGTGATGGGCCTCTTTGCAATTAATCCATGGCCATAAGGATGGAAAGCTGTAGACCAAAGTAGTCGCAAAGAGGCCTCTGCCAGCTGTGATGTCACACTATATACAGAATACAGTTAAGGGGTTAACAAAGTTAAGACTTTAAAAAGTTACAAAGTTTCATACGTGCCTATAAATTCTCTGGAGCCACATTTTTAAAAACTAAAACTAGTTGGACTGGGTGGTGCACACCTTTAGTCCTAGCACTTGAGAGGCAGAGGCAGGCAGATCTCTGTGAATTCAAGGTCAGCCTGGTCTACAAAGAAAGTTGCAGAACAGCCAGGGATACATAGAAAAACCCTGTCTCGGAAAAAAAAAAAACAACCAACAACCAAACAAGCAAACACCCAAAAATTAAATAAGGGGCATATTAATAACCTGTCTTGCTTTTCTATACTGTCTTCAAAAAATCTGCACTGTACTTACATTTAAAGCATACCTTGATTGCAGTACTGAGTTTACAAGAGATATTTAATCTGAATTTAGATTTCAAAGTACATGTAATTTATAAAGTAGACAAATATGCTAATGCTTGTTTCCCAAACATACTTAAGTCTTTAATACCTGAGTTAAGTACAGACTTTAAAAAGTAAACAAGTTTAAAACTTCAGTTCATCAGCCTCTATTTCTGAAGGCTGATGCCGGGCTGCTAGCAACTACTGTAGCGGCAGGCACAATCCTGTCAGTCACCTGGATTCTTTGAAACCTGAATCAGAATGAAAGATGTTACCCCACTGACCAACAAGTCTCGATATAGTATATACCAAGTGCGCCAGTGTTTTTATTTCCTGTAATACTTTGGTAAGCAGCTGTTTCTGGAAAGCCTGCTTGGTAGGGAGAAAGGCGAACTGCAATTCATGAACATATGGGGACATTAAGATTGGAGATACCAGCCCAGTGAAGTGGGACACCCGTTAATCCCAGCACTCAGGAGGCAAAAAGAGGCAGTTCTCTGAGCCTCAAGGCTAGCCTGGTCTACAGAGTGAGTTCCGGGGCAGTAAGGGTTACACAGAGAAACCCTGTCTTGAAAAAGAAATAGAGATACTGGGGTTCATTTCCAAGGAAAAGGAGAGAAACGTTGACATTGAGGTCTCTTTGTCTAGGACGTTAGTCACCCCGGGAAAGTTACAACTATTGTTTACACTAAGTCTCTCAACTTCCACAGACCAGCTGTCAGTGCATGCTCAAAGGCCGCCGTCTTCCTCGGCACCCCTTCCTAGCTTCTCTACCCCGGCTGCTCTCCAGGACTGCAGAGCATTCTCCACAGAAATGAACCTCGAAACGAGCACACCAAGACGTATGAATGATAAACACATACCACACCAAATCACTCTTCACTAGCCTGGCTCTCCCAGCCTACCTTGAGAAAAACATTTCCTATCGTTCCAACAGCTTTCTCTTCCCCGTTTGCTCGGGGTCAAAGTTCACTTGGTTCCCCTAGCAGCTGGTTTCAAAGTTGATCTCGTGAAGGCGCTGGATTCCGAAGGTAGTTCTATTTTGAGCCTTCTTCCTGTTCTGAAGCTAAAGTTGGAAGGGTTGAGGTGGTGATGTCACGGAAGGGAGAGGTGGCTTTTTCAGAAGGGTCTTCTCTGGCAACTCTGGGGACACTTAGGTGGTGAATGGCTCGAAGTGCTCCCTTTTCATAGGGAGTGCTCCCCTCTCACCGTTCTCCTCTCCTTCCCACTGGAGTCCCAGTTAGTCACTAGCCAGGAAGAAAATGAATTCTAATAGCAGGCAATTACACTTGCATATTTTATATGTGAAACATATAAAAGACAGAGGCGAAAATGCCGAACTCTAGGAAGGGGGGGAATGACTATCTGTCTCCACCCACTCCCACCAAACATCTATAAGGCCACGAGCAAAGGGGGCTGAAGAAACAGCAGTTAGGAAGAATTTAGGAATTACACGTAGGAGGCTCAGAGAAGCGAATGCTACTGGGGTATTCGGAACCGGAACCCGAGCCCCCCCCCCATCCCTTTTCTTTCCCTCCCTGCTGTAAGAGACTTGGGGTTGGGTGTGCCTTCTGCTTGGGAGGCATTTGGCTCTGGAGAACGGCAAGGGGCCAGGGTGCGGCCCACAGGGAATAAAAGCTCAGGCCTGGTTCTGGGCTAAGTTTAGCGGAAGAGTAAAGGAGACGGGGGAAGTGCAGATCTGAGTGGAAGACCCGTTGTGGAATTTAAAAAAAAAAAAAAAGGCCCGCTGGTGGCACATCACTCTCAACTTAAGCCCAATAGTTTATTGCTGGGGGTATAGGAAAAGGGTGGAAAAAGAGACAAATTCTAACGTAAACTGTAAACTGCAACTTCTTGGAGGTTAGAGGGCTGACGTACCAAACGCTATCAGCAGGTGAAAAGAAGCGCCTTTTACCAATTCTGGGGTATGGAGGTCTGGCCAAGCCCTGGTGGGCAGGTCAGTGCCTGGCTTCTAAGCTCACCTCGCCCCCAAAGCGGGAAGAAGCAAAGGTGTGGTCTTTCTCCGGGAAGGTGGCAGCTGGCTACGCAGAGCGAGGGAAAGGATTCCTCACCGGGAAGGAGGGGAGGAGCCCCGGGGTCAGCTGCGGCCAGGAGCCAGGGTCTCCGCCAAGTCCCCTCCCCCCTCCCTGAAAACCGACCTGGACCAGCATCGATTTCAGCAACACCCTCTCACCTCCCCAATAATCTTGCTAATAATAATAATAATAATAAACCCAGCCCCTCTGGCCCACGTTTAAAAACAAACAAACAAAAACCCCAGAGCTCTGAGCGATGGAAATAAACAGGTGAGTCCAGGGAGAAGCGGGAAAGAGTAGGGATGGAAGAAGGGGGTGGGGGCGTTCCCGAACGTGAGGGGAAACCGAGGCTCTCCCCACCCTCTCTTCACTCACCTTCTCCCTGTCCCCGAGAGTCTGCGTGACAGGTTACGAACCGCACACCCCACAGTGACAGCCCTCCCGCAGCCCGCGCCCTCCGCCTGCCTACCCTAGGCTCCCGCGTCCTGGCTTCGGGGACCGCGCGGGACTCGCCCGTACCCCGGCCCGCCGCCGCCGCCGCCGCCGCGGGGACTCCTCTCTTCCTCTCTCCGCCTCCTCCTCGCAGACTCCTCCCGCCGGATCCGTCATGTAAACAACATCCCGGCTCTATTTCCAGCGGCCGCGGGACGGCGAGGGAACCGCGCCAGCGCCCAGCCACCGGGCGGGGGTGGGGAAAAGCGAGTGCGCCACAGCTCCCGGCCCGGCCCCGCGCCGCCGCCCCGCGCTGTCCGCCGCCTACCGGAGCTGGCGCCGTGCGCTCCTGGGCGTCCGGCCGCAGCCTCCGCCCCCGCCGCCACCGCCTCCGGGCCACGGGGCACCCGGCCGGCCGGGTGCGAGCGCCGTGCGCGCGCCGCACAGTCGCTCTCCGCGCCCCGCGGGCCGGCCCGGGCGCGCCGTCAGCCCGGGGGCCGAGAGCCCAGCACCCGGAGCGCGCGCACGGACGCCGCCCCCGCGGCCGCGCGCGCCCCGCACCCACCTGCGCCCTCGGGGGTCCCGGGCCCCCCTTCCTTTGTTCTTCCCGCTATTTGCATGAGGATTATCTAATGACGCAGCAAGGCTCGCCACAACGTGACCGTCGCCATTTTTCTGTTTTTATTCTAGCTCTGCCATGTGATAGATTGGGGAGGGGGGTGGAAAAGGGAGAGAGACAGGATTGAAAAAAAAAAAAAACTTCCGGGTCTCATGACCGGGAAGGGAGAAAAACAAAAGGGAGACGAGACACAACTCCCGGCGAAGGCCTTGGTGCGTGTGCGCGCGTGCGCGCCCGCCTCTCCCGGCCCGGGAGTCGGAGTCTGGGGCGCTCAGAGCATCCTCCGGCTAGGGTCCAGTGACCCGGCCGTGCGGGCTGCGTGCTCGCTCCTCCCTTCTGCCAGAAACCCGGTTGCCAGCCTCGCCTGGCTCCAGCGGCCCAGGGTTCCATTCAATTGAGAAAATTGAAAGACCGCTTCGTTTCCTAAGTTGTAAAACAGTACGCTCCGCTCCGACGCTGGTCCTTGCGACCACCGCGTGGCGAGGGCAGGAAGAATCGGACCAGTTCAGATTTTCTTTCTGCTTCCTTTTCGCTCTTTTCCCAAAGCGGCACGCTCAGCTTAGGTGTGATTTGTGGCGTTGCAGACTTCGTTTTTGGGTTTTTTTTTTTGGGGGGGGGGGCATGCATCACGGCTGGATTTATTGAGGTAGAATTTTTTAAATAAATGGTTGTTGAGTGCCAGGGTGGGTTGAGAAGACAGTTGCAGAGCTCCGGGCGGATTCGTGTTTTACCGTGTTAATTCCCATTCACAGGACGTGAAAGGTGTCCCGAGTGCATGGCCTGCTGAAAGGATAAATGCCTGGAGCTCTGCCAGGTCTCTCGGGGACAGAATTCGGTGCTTTAGGTTACTGGTCTGGTTCCTGGAGCTTTCACTTTTGTTTCTCTTCTCTGAGTGCCTCTCTTCGGATTGAAAGCAGAAGTGGACGGGAGCATTGACTGGGATGAGGACCACAGCGCAGCGCCAGACCAGATATCATATTAGACCCCAGTTTAGATTGAGGCACATCTGAGATCTGAGTGGGTAGAAGGGAGTATGGTCTGTGCAACTGTGGTCCCGTTTGTAACGTTGTGTGCCTAGAATTTAAAGATGGAGAACTCTCAGAAGTGCTGATCCTTCAGGACTGCCGCGGGATTCATGACCTCTTTCCGACCTTCTTTCTTGAGCTTTGACTCAAATACGTGTGAGCTCGCCTTCCCTTTCCCCTTCTGCTGGGGAGCTTGCCTTGTCATTGAACATGGCTATGTGTTTGCAGCGAAGCGTTTCTGTTCTGTTCACAGAGTTGACAGGTCTCCTCCTTGTGCCATTGTGCCCTTGGAGCATTTATTTCATGGTGCCGTTCAACGTCGGTATTCAGGACAATGACTGCGTTTTCCAGTACTGGGGACAAGCTTTGAGAACCACAGCTGTCTCCAGTCATCACTATTTTCTGACCATGAAAGCCAGGGGAGGCCTGAAGCAGACCTTTCCCACAATCCCATCCTGACCAGGCTAGGAAATTCCTTGCATGCTTCCTGGGAAGGTTGGACTTGGACACTGGAGACGTTTTATGGCTCTTACACCTTTGCCAGCCGTTCTTGGCGGGCTCCTTTCGTTACACATCCAAGCAAAACATACTTTGTTCTCTCAACTTTTTAACTAACTGCTTTTCCCCATCTTACTTTTACTATACTTGGCTCCTCTCCTTTAAATTCTTTATGATTCAAATAAATGAATTAGTTATGCTAACTCTTGCTGCTCTGCTTTCATGGACTAGACTGCAAATGCTTGGTGAACTTTGAGCAGTGATTTAATCGTATTGAGCCGAGAATCAAATCATAGGCTCCATAACCCAGGGCCTCATTATGCTAGGGAAACACTGGCCCTGATCGGCACCCCTGAGTCACAGAACCTCAAGATCTGGTACCTAGTGATAAACAGGCCAAAAAGGACTGTTGAAGTGATTCTAGCATCAGGACAGGGTGCCTGTTCAACAGATTGGAAAATAAATGCTTCATACAATTCTGTTTAAGCTCCAAAGAGCATTATGTACTTTTAAAGTGGTGAGCATATATATCTGGATATGCAAGATTCTGTTGCATAGCTGAGTTTATATGTATCTATGAATAGGACAAATAATAGCTAAAGGCCCCCATGTACCACTCTAGATAACAGCAGGATGGTTATAACTTAGCTATAACACCAGCAACTTTTTTTTTTGTTTTTTTTTTTTTGATTTTTCGAGACAAGGTTTCTATGTGGTTTTGGATCCTGTCCTGGAACTAGCTCTTATAGACCAGGCTGGTCTCGAACTCACAGAGATCCGCCTGCCTCTGCCTCCCGAGTGCTGGGATTAAAGACGTGCGCCACCACCGCCCGGCAACACCAGCAACTTTTATTGAGGTGGGAAGACACTCAATTATATAACTAAATCATCTTGTTTTTTGTTTGTTTGTTTGTTTGTTTGTTTTTTCGAGACAGGGTTTCTCTGTGGTTTTGGAGCTTGTCCTGGAACTAGCTCTTGTAGACCAGGCTGGCCTCGAACTCACAGAGATCCGCCTGCCTCTGCTTCTCATCTGTTGTTTTAACTATAAAACTAAAGAGAAAAAAAAGGGATGAGAACTCCAAGAAAGTAATTATAGGAAACACCCCCATGTCTCTTGTCATCAGTACGTGAGTCCTCACACATCAAGCAGTCCTCACGATATACATAGCTACTGACTCACAGGAATCCCAATAACTTCCTTCTAGTTGTCAAATTTATACTTGAAAAATACTCATCGCTGGTGTCCGAGTGAGGGCATGGGCTTAGATGTCATTCATTAGTTACTTTGGTGTTGCTGTGGTTAATCACCATGCGCTGTGATAAAAACACCATGGTCAAGGCAACCTAGAGAAGGAAGGGTCTATATGCGATTGTGTTTCCTGAAGGACAAGAGTCCATCATGGAGGAGAGGCCTAACAATACACAGGTATGGTAGCAGATGCAGGAAACTGGGAGCTCACATCCTCAACAGCAAGCACCAAGCAGAGAGAGCAAACTGGATATGGTAGGAAGCTTCTGATCCCAAAATCTGCCTGCAGTGACACAGTCCTTCCAGCAAGGCTGCCACACCCAAACCTCCCAAACAGGACCAGCAACTGGAGATCAGATGCCCAAATGTCTGAGACCATGGGGGTCTCTCTCTCTCTCTCTCTCTCTCTCTCTCTCTCTGTTTTTCAAGACAAGACTTCTCTGTGCAGTTCTGGATGTCCTGGAACTCACCAGGCTGACCTCGAACTCACAGAACTCCTCCCTGCCTCTGCCTCCCCCGTCCTGGGACTAAAGGTGTGTGCCACCACACCCAACTGACATTTCTTTCAAAGCGCCACAAGCCAGTGCTGAGTTCCACTCTGACAGTCTGTTAACTGTGTCTTCTTGAGCGAATTTCTTCTCAGTTGTGGTTTTTCACTTCTTTATCCATACGATGAGCGTAACAGCTACCATAAATTAGGAGAATTTTTAGGATTGAAGTTTAATGACATTACATGGACAACACTAACCATGGCATTCGGAACATAATCTTCTCTAAAGGACGGCTCATCTGGGAGTGGCTCATGCTATAATCCCAGCACTTGGGAGGCAGAGGCAGGGGGATCTCAAGTTCCAAGCTACCCAGGGCAATATTGCAGTAGGAAGACTCTGTCTCAAACAGAAGGAAGATTCAACACACTTACTACTAGTGAAAAGTTCTGTGACGTCAAATCATCCATACTAGCTCGTGCCCTCGAGACATTCATATGTAACCTGGGAGAGATGTATACAAGGGACTAGACGAATAGGTGGGCTGGAAAAACCAAACAAAATACTGCCCACCGCTTTGCGGTGATCTACCTGAGATATCATTAAGATCTAGACTTACCACTATCCACACAATCTCGAAGCCTGGAGGAGCACATGCCTAGCACTTCCTTCTCCGAAACAGTGAGAAGTTACCCTCCCATACCAATGAAGACTGCTGCCTTTGAAACTCAGTCTGGTTGGCATGATTCTGCAGGGTTTTTTTTTGGGGGGGGGGGGGTTCGAGACAAGGTTTCTCTGTAGCTTTGGTGCCCGTCCTGGAACTAGCTCTTGTAGACCAGGCTGGCCTCGAACTCCCAGAGATCCTCCTGCCTCTGCCTCCCGAGTGCTGGGATTAAAGGCGTGCGCCACCACCGCCTGGCATGATTCTGCAGTTTTAAGAAGCAATTTCTCGGCGGGTTTCTTTCGCCCCGTGAAAAGTATGCCAGCTTGTGTCTTTGAAGGACTGTTGGAGAAATGTAGTTAATAGGAAGCCCTTCTGGTTGTTAATTAATTAAAACAGTTTAATCAAGAACCATCTTCTAAGGCACTCGTTCGCAGCCCGAGTCAGGTGCTAAGAAACTAGCATGATGAAGACAAGGACTTTGCTCTGCAGAAGCGCCTAACCCAGGGCTGCTTTATTAAACAAATATGGAGTCGTTGTTCACCATGGGGAATTCAGCAAAAGACAAGACACTGAACTTCGTCTATTGGGAAATCTGGCAAGTTAATAATACACATATTTGCTCAAATTCTTCAAGAAATACGTGATTGGCTGGCGATAACCCACACCTATAATTCCAGCATTTGGGATGCAGAAACGAGAGACTCAGGAGTTGAAGGTTCTTCTCAGCTACAAAACGAGGTTAAGACCAGCTTGGGTTATGTGAGACCCTGTCTGAAGAAGTAAAGGAGTAGAAAATGAACAGTGTGGGACTGGCACACAGTTT